CATGGAAAGTGCTAGATAGTACAACAGCGTGATGTTATTTTCATAGTGCAACGCTCGTGCACCTAACCCCCTATGCTATAGGTCCCATAACGACTCGCACTTGTGATAGAAAATAGTATGTACAACTCGTTCGGAAAAGTTGCTATAGCGCCACTTGGGCGCTTTCCGCACTCGCTACGCTTGTGCGTCAACTGCGTTCCCGTGGCGCTATTGGCAACTTTTCCCCACTCGTTACACAATGTACTATTATAGCACCTATTTTATATCCGCATTATCAGAAAATTCAACTGCTTTGGCCGTTATTGTTATTATCAATTAATAAAATTAATTTATGGTTTTAAATAATAAAATAATTTGACATACCTGATGTAACAACAACTGTTCGAAATTTTATCCACTGACGTATAGACACAAATGTTGTCTTGCTTCACCATAAAACAAATGCTTCACCATAATACAGATGTTGTTTTGCTTCACCATAACTTAAAACGATACCCATCAACTCTGAGTTGCTATACACGCAAGCCATCTTCGACACTAACTACTAAAAAACTATTGTAAGCACCACCACAGTAAACACTATCGCAATGACGACAATTGTAAAATCGAATTTCAGTATTCGGAGTTGCTGAGGCCACATGGCTCTCCATGCGTATTGCGAATGACGCTAGAGACTACAGTTGTTCAGCTATGTATTGGTTGAATGTACACAACTTTTTTCTCAGAAACTATAAGGATTTTACAAACATTTCTTTTATTTATTCCCAAATTTTTTTGGATAAGTTGTGAATCACCCTGTATAGGTAAAAACACTTATTTATTATATGCCCAAAATAAATCGTTTTGTTTTTTTATTTTTGGAGTCCTACGCCACTGAATATAAAAATTAGATAGGAAGGGTGTGAAAATCTACTCCTATGGATAATAGCATTCCATTCTTGTCATAAGATACCTCAAAACAATATAATTTTTTTCAATTTTTGATGGTCTTCGCCACTGACAATTGAAATTTATGCTATGACTGAAAACATTATATTTTTGTTATTAAGAGGGCAAAAAATATTGATTTTTTTTTCAATTTTTGGACCTACTCCACTGGAAATCAAAATTTAAAAAGGAACTATAAAAAATATGTCAAAAATATATTGCATTGAATGAGAATATTCCATTTTTAAGAGGGGTAATCAGATGCATAATAATCCTGGAATATTATTTCATGTGCACTGGGAAAACATTCTTAGAATATGAAAGTGTAGGAGAGCTGATTTTGAACACTTGTCAAAGTAATATTTACCTTTTTTAATATTTGTAGTCTGAATGACCAATCCCTTCAAAGTTTTTTGGACGTAACAAAGTTAAATAATCTATATACATTATACGATTTGTAAAAGAATTAACTCTATTTGTTAATGCCCATTTCAAATACCAATTTATCTCAAAATTCATTTATTTTGTCAAAATAAATGAATAGTACTGTTTTTAAAGAAAAATCTTCCGGATATCTAAAAGTATTTTGAAAAGATGTGTTTTGGGGTAGTTCGTTTCTACATACCTTGAAATAGTAAAAGATTCATTTCAATATCAAATTGCAGAACCTTGTCTGTAATACATTATACCAGAGTTCTAAAGTTAGAATCCAAAATATAAATTTCTAAGTATATATTTCTTTGGGGACTTATATCTCGCTAATTGTTGACATTGCCAAAGTTTTAGGGGAATCAGGATCAACCTCATTAAAATTAAGAAAAGATGCGTAATTAGTCAAATCTGAAGGCATCGATCGTAATCACCTTGACGGCCTACAAATGTCAAATTTGTGGGCAGGCGTCAGCGTTACTTTGACTTATCTGATAGTGTAATTTATAAACTCAATAGTCCTAGTGTTAGTTACATTATAAGCTCCGGAGAAATAAGTGTATATCTACCAAACATCCTATACACGTATACTTACTAAATTATTTTCAAGGCCATTGGCTTGTGTAAACGCAAATATTCTAATTTTATGGAAAAGCTTATTACATAAAGTAAATTTTTTTTATAAAGCTTATAAAATTTTACAAATCATACTGAGAGTATGAAAAAAATGTATTACAAAAATTCACATTTGCTTATCTTATTGATAGGAATAGCTTGAATAAGAGGAAGTAATCAGATACCTACTGATGAAATATATGGCATTCTGGCTTAGACAAACTTCACCCTAGATAGATTTTACAATACAGTAGTATATGTTTACTTTAGTGCAAAATGTAAAGCTCTTACCTATTTGAATACTTTTTGTGCACAAATTTTAATGTATTGGTTTGCTGGTATGCCACACAAGGACACCAAGCTACCAATTTTTTAATGGCAGAAAGCTAATCACTAGAAATTAGCTGACACTTATATGCTTAGGTGTAGATTGCTGTAGAATTACTTGATATATCGTGTTAAATGAATCTATCTCAAATATTAAGACAGATATGGCATATAGTCTATATGCGTATTGTGTTAGACGGAAAATATTACTATTTGCCAGGCAGCCAAGTTCTTGTCCAACATACCAGGCGCATGGTACACTATTTAGGGTTTCCAGTGAGATTTAACATCAGTCAGAAACCTATAAAAATTACAGGAATAATTATAATAGCCATTATTCTTTTGATACAAATTTGTATGAATTTTTCAAGTGGCCGAAACATTTTGTCAGTTGAGGAAAAAATAACTAAAAAATGTATTCTGTCATACCATAAGTTCCAATCTGCAATTGCATAATTTCGTTCAAACAGATTTACATATGAATTGCTATCTAATATAATTTGCAGCTTATAAGAGCATATCTCAGTGTAGAAGAAGGGTAATGGGTATTTTTTTTATCAGTTGCCAAATAAAGAGGAAAAATAAACATACAGGGTATCCCAAGAATTGCGATACAAATCTCAGGAATAGGTAGGTGGGGTTAAAACAATGTCAGTGCTTTATATAAAGTTTTGTCATATGTGCAATTATTAACGTGTAACCTTATCCCGGACGTGAATGTATGTCCGTCTATTATTCTCTTCAGGACAGTGGAGAAATATAAAAATAGCATTAATTTACTAGCCCTATGCTTAAAATAGTCAAACGGTACCTTCTACATCAACCAATATTCTTGACTGCCGACTCCAGCCTTCTCTCTTCCAGTCAAGACCCCTACACAGTTTCCCCGCAGCATCTACCGCCAAAACTCCGCATCATCACTTAAGCGGCTCGTCCACTACACATCCCCATCTCTACCACACTCTTACGTAGTACAAACGATTTACATGTTTTCAAAGTTAGAAATTGAAAACCTGTTTTTATTTGTAATTTCTAAAATATGCATTTGAAGTCAATGCAAAAGTGATGATATATAATATAAGTAAATTTATTATTGCCTCCAGAACATCAGGAGCCCAATGGTTAATAATGCAGAATCTAAGCATGATGTTTGAATTTGATAAATTAGGGATTTAGAAGAAATTTATTATAATCGATAATTACTGTTAGATAAAGCACATTAATAAGATGGGAATAAGGCACGATCAAAATTGTTATATCATAACATTTTAAATGTCGATCAATGAATATGAATAAAGTGTTATCCCTTAATTCAATAATGAAATCTAGTATGACAAAATTTTATATGGAATGCTGACATTGTCTCGCTCCTAAATTTTTTACCTCAAGTAATCGAATACCCTGTATACGGTGAAATTTCCTAAAGTTGTATGTTGGAAGGAAATAACAACTGGGTCTTTTATAATTCATGCAAAAGAAACAAATTTGAGAATATTTGCCAAATCTTATACACAAATTTTGAGTAAAATATTTATCAGTGCACACTCCTCAAAATGAATGTTTTAAGAATCAAAAATAGTCTTCAAACTACTACTTTTGTGGACTAGCTAGCAAAATAATATGAAAACATTTTACCATTTTTGTGTTTATTCCCATTGAAATAACAATAATTATTGAATGTGTAATTATAATTGTAGAAGAAAATGAAACATGATTGACAACTATTTGTATAGCAAGTACGCGAAATAATTTATTGACGGATGAATCTGAATGTTTATGGTGAGTCCGTGAAACAATTTTACTTACATATTACTATTACATACAAAATTTTTCAGTGTAACGTTCACAAATTGCTAAAATGCAAATTATTAAGTCACTAATTAATTTCTATCACGCCCGCTCGCTATGGGACCTATAGCGTGGGGCGTAGGGGGTTATGTGCACGGAAAGTGCCAGATAGTACAACGGCGTGATGTTATTTTCATAGCGCAACGCTGGAGCATTGTGCTATGAAAAATATAACCCCCTACGCTATAGGTCCCATAACGACTCGCACTTGTGATAGAAAATAGTATGTGCAACTCGTTCGGAAAAGTTGTCATAGCGCCACTTGGGCTGTCAACTATTCCGGCGTGGCGCTATTGGCAACTTTTCCTCGCTCGTTACATAATGTACTATATTTTGCAATAATAGTTTGTTTTGTGTTACAATAGTTTTTTCCAAGGGAATAAATACCATACGGTACATTGATTCCATGATTATTTTGTGTCCTAACTCCAAACAGTGGCATTTTTAATTTACAAAAGCATTCATGCATGTACGCAAAACGCTTTGACAAAAAAATACAGAGTTCAAAGTATGCGTTCCTAACTGATTTTTTTCTTGCCAGCCAGACTTTCGCCAAAACTACCCTATTTGGGTTCAACTATTGGTATAAAAATTTATTAAACCGATTCAATTTTCAATAAATTAAAACATCTTTCTAGGGAATATAAATTTAATTCAAAGTTTTTTCCTTATTTTCCTGAATGTTATAAAAATAACTTTATCTTAATTTCTTGTGATTGGCTTTACTGTTCTGCTTTTGTCTTGTTACTTCTCGGCAACCATTTAAATCTCATTAACTCACATAAAATAACATCGCTTAGTCTTACCCTAGTATTTTTTGTCAAATGTATTAAGTAATGAGGTTGATTATTTAGACTTGTGCGGCAACTGGATCGAAATAGCTTATGGTACAACGTCTGGCGCCGTCAGAGTTATTGTACAGCACCCAGAGACTGTTGGACATGGGCCTCAGTTATTTCAGACTTTTACTGTGCATCAGAGCAAAGTGACAAAGGTAAGTCCTAAGACTCCTAAGTTATTATTTTTAGTATAGCTCAAGCATATTTCAACAAATTTTTGTATTAGACTGCAAATTCATTGTTTCCATTTTGCCTTAATGGGTCACCATTGCATACACATATTTGTTTTCTTTTAATCATCACGATTCAAAATTTCTAAGTAAAATTTTGTTTTTAAAGTAAAGTCATTACTGCATTTGCATAATTACAGAATATGCAATAGTTCTACTTAACGTCAGTTTTGATGAGATTTTCATTTTGGTATTCTCCATACACACATTTGGGGAAATAACGTACAAAGATGCATCTTACTTCCATGGATGTAGCAAGACTGAGATGACCATGTGTCCAAAATTTTCTAAGGCTCATAATGATGTTAATCCAACCAATGTTCTTTTATTAAAGAAAGTTGGTAATTTTGTTTTTTCCATTGTATAGGAGGTGTAGGTAACTAAAATGTTTGACTAAACTTTAATGATGGATTCTGTTACAAATTAACAAAAAAGCTCCTATTTTTGAGATATAGACTGTTAAAAGATTATGCTTTCTTTTTGAAATACAGCGTGTTGAAATAAAAAAAATAAATCTTAGATTAGAAGAGTTTATTTGAAATGCAACTTTAATTTTTGATTTTCTACAAGCATAGGTACATGAATAAAGATTCTTTTAAATTCAGAAGGTAATTCCAGGGGTGCAGGAAGTATTTTTCTCTCTCGGTTTATTTCAAACTTGACTCACTATGATGACATGCTGCATGTTATAACGATGTACCATTTTGAAGATGCTAAATGTTAAATATTAGGCTATGTTTTTATAATTAGTATTAAAAATATATACATAAAATAAATCAAATATTATTTACATGGCTTCCCTCAACTGTGCTTTACAACATGAAATAAATGTCATATCTATTTTCATCAATTCACCCTATGTGTTGAAAGCGAAGCATTTCTGTATACAATAACTTCCCTTAGTACAATTTTACTTCTTTAAAAAGTTATGGACCTTATTGATGTAGAATTAGTTTATTTTTTACCTAAAACATGTCATTAAGAACACCTTAATGTTTCTGAGCTTTGTTGTATTCATAGGGTAGATATTAACATTATATTAGAGGTAATCCCTTAGCACAATCGTGTGCAATTCTAATACAAGTTGTTTCAAGTTTACTTGAAATAGCCAAATTGTGTGGGATTGTTTTGTGTCTATTGATGAAATTTATATCGTTTCTTATGCAAGATACTTTTACAATACTTGCACCAGACTTAACCAAAAGTACTTGAGTCCAAAGGGGTGAATTAGTATAAGTCAAGTACAATATGTCTTACTTAATTCTAATGTAAGTCTGCAACATAATCACTTGCTTTAATTTACCCCTTTGTGCTCAAGTGCCCTGAATCGAATCCATTGAAAGCTTTGATCAAGACAATTGCACAATGAATCTTGCAGTAAACCTGAT